GGTTAGATAGCAGCGCCAGATCTTGAACGCGTGGATGATCGCCAGTAACTCCTTGTCATGAACCGGATAATTTCGCTCAGCCGGGTTCAGCTTGCGGGATTCGTAGGCGATGGGCTGGAGTCCGTCGCCGAAGTCTTGTAACAGCACTGCGCCGACAGCAATGTCGCTAGCGTCGGTGACGAGCTCGAACGGACGGTGAGGATCAGCTATCCGAAGAACCGGCGGGGTCGTCAGAAAAAGTTTGAGTGCGTCGAACGCAGCCTGCTGCTCTCCCCCCCATTAAAAAAACGCGCCTTTCTTCAGCAGGTCCGTGAGCGGGGAAGTTACCCCCGCCATGTTCGGAATGAACCGGCGGACGTAATTTACGAACCCCAAAAAACTTTGGAGTTCCCGCAAATTAGACGGCGGCTTCCATTCTTGAATGGTGCTGATCTTCTTGGGGTCGATTTTAACGCCCTCGACTGAGATGATGTGGCCGAGGAATTCTAGTTCGGGTTTTAAAAACTCGCACTTAGAGCCCTTGGTGATGAGGCGATTCTGCTGCAGTAGTGTGAAGACTTGATCGAGATCTTTTAAGTGCTGCTCCTGGGTGGTGGAATAGACGAGGATATCGTCTAAGTACACTATTACGCACTTGTCCAACAGCGGCCGAAAAATCCCGTTCATGGTCAGCTGGAAGGTCGAGGGCGCGTTTGTCAGACCGAAGGGCATGACTGTGTACTCGTAACTCCCGTACCTGGTACGAAACGCGGTCTTGTAGCAATCTGCTTCGTCGACGCAAATCTGGTGGTAACCCCCTCGCAAGTCGATCTTCGAGATGAATTTTGCCCCACGAAGCTGGTCGATGAGTTCGTCGGCGCGTGGTATCGGGTATCGGGATTTAATTGTAACCCGATTCAGCGCCCTGTAGTCGATGCACATGCGAAGACCCCCGTCTTTCTTCGGCGTGAACAGTATCGGGGCGGCGAACGGAGACGTGCTGGGCCGGACGAAGCCTTTCTCCAACAGGTAGTCAAGTTGTCGTCGTAGTTCCTCCAGCTCAGGTTGCGTCAGCCGCCACTGTGTCCGCACGGTTGGCTGCGCGCCGGGCTCGAGTTGGATCTTGTGGTCTTGCGGGCGTTTGGGTGGCAGGCCGGCGGGCAGGTCATCTGGAAATATTGTTGGGTATTTCCGAATGAGTTTCGCCAGGTCTTCGGGTACACCAGCGCACAACTTTTCGATGTCGGGGGTATTGTCGACGGCCGTTGATGCGATCCATCGGACGGTGTAGAGTTGTGCGCCCCGAATCATGGCGCGCTTGATTGTCACGGCGCTGACTGTTGATGTAGTCGCTTCAGGTCCACTCCACCGGGGTAGTCGTCGCCACTCGCCGCCCCACTTGATGCGACAGTCGCCCGTACGCCAATCGATACTCGGGTTGTACTCTCGCAGCCAATCACGCCCCAGCAGCATGTCGCAACCGTCCAGAGTCGTCGCCAGCATCTTCGTTGTGAAGCTGAAACGCTCGCCGCATGTGACTCGAACGTGTGGCACCCGTTCTCGAATCGCCAGTGGTGTACCGTCGACCAATCGCGCGTCGATCTCCGGCATGCAGCGCTCCAACTGTAGTCGCAGCTTCTTCGCTTTTGTCACATCCATCAAACTGTGGCCCGCTCCACCGTCAACAAATATTTTTATTTTGTTATCCCCAACTCTCCCTTCTACCAGCACAGGGTGATCAACAGGTTCACCCCCCTTATTCAGCCAGGAGTGGTCGACTGCATAAATCGGCACTACTACGTGGTGGGGGTGGTGGTATTTGGGCGACGCAGTCAAGTCAGCAGGTGGCCCATCAGCTACTGACTTTTTCCATTTCCCGACTGCTTCCCGTCGTTAGCTAAGTCCTTCTTAAGCGCCGGGCAGTCCCGCACCATGTGGCCCGGCTGGTTGCAGTTGAAACAGCGACCGGTAAACACCCGGGCTGCCATCGCGTCCACGCCGTTGATGGAAGGGTGTTGGTGCTGGCCTCGAAAACGATTTCCCTCCCGAAAACTCGTCCTCGGGAATGCCCGCCGCGCGTCCAGCGCATCTGCCAACTCGACGAGCTCCGAGAAGTTCGCTGGGCGTCGCACCTCAATTTCCAGCTGTATTTCCGGCTTCAATCCCGCCACGTAGCGATCCATCTTCTCGTCTTCGTTCATGCCGTTGATCTGGTCGCAGAGCGCTAGGAACGACGCGGTGTATTCTTGAACAGCTCCCAACTGACGCCATTCCCGAAGCCTCGCACGAGCGTGTTTGCGCGTGGATATGTGCTCAAAACGCTTTTTCAAGGCTTCGCCCCACGCTCGCCACGTGAGGTTCATGGCCGATCCGAAGATTGGGACCGCCATTGCTTCAGACGACTGTTGCTCCCCAGCTACCGCCCGTTGATGTCCTGCCGAGGCCCCTCCCTTTGCGAGTTGCATGCGCCACCAGTCGAGTGCCGGTCCTCTCAGCAGTGATATAGCGAAATTCACACGTGTTGCATTGTCGTGAATATTAGCTGCATTAAAGAAGATTTCAACAGCAAACAACCACACGCTCACTGTTGTGGTTTTATCGGTCGGATTGAACGGCGGGGGCGTGGCAGGTTTAACTTTAATAACTGCCTGTTGTCCGTTGTTGATTTCTTCTGTTGCTTCAGGTGTCGCCGGCGTTCTCGCTTCGCTCGCAGCATCCTCGTCTCGGGTAACAGGCCGCCTCTGACGCGTCTCTCCACGCGCCTGGCGAAGTGACGAGTTTTCCTCGCGCAGCGTCTGAAGTTCGCCATCGAGCGATTCGAACTTCGCCATGAGTTGTTGGAGTTGCGACTGTAGCGTCGTCACCGTGGCCGCCCTCGTCTGCAACTCGTCAAACTCCTCCTGTGTCACGTTCCTAACACTACGGCGGGCGGAGGATTCCAGCTCACTCGTCATGCTGGAATTGTTTTACCTAACAGATCTGAAGGTGCACACGCTTCTAGTCGTAGGAGCTTTAATTAAGCTCACCTATCGACCGCAGGCCAACCTTCTATTCTGTCAGGTCCTCGCCCGATATAAACGGACTCTCTTACGGAAGACTAGGCGGGCAGGAAAGTAGCTCTGATACCAGCTGTTATGAATCGAATCAGAGTAGTAGCGCGGAATTCAATAACAGGGCGTGACTCAAGAGTCCGAATACAAATGAAAGGCTACAGCACTTTATAGGCACAACTACGCTAGCCGAGAACCTCGCATCTAGGTTGGGGCGACTCGGGTGACCGAAAAGTTAGGCCGAGCCTAGCCTTCCGAAGTCCGAGGGCGTACGCGCTGTGGCTGAGCTGAGTAAGGAAAAGGATTTTCCTTACAGAGCCTCAATTCGCTGCCACCAAACCTACCAGCCGAGCCTGCGTAGTTGACATCAAACACCCAGAAACACGCGCACCACTTCACATCTCACGCAATACCCTAACAACGCTCCCACGAATCATGCGAGCAACATTCTCGCATGATTCCCAACCCCTGGAAGACGAGGAAGAAACAAACAAGATTCGCGCATGTCACAATCCGCTCCACCCTGTTTTGCGATGAGTATGCCAGGCCGCAGGCGATGAGCCACATCGTGGCGGCCTCGCCGGGAAATCCGCTGATCGGCCCGCCTCCATCCTCGCAGCATATAATCGCAGCCTCGTCACCCCTTCGTCTCCTCGCCAAAACACCCTCCGCGCCGCGTCGCGTCCTGGCTGTGTCGCCCCCTCGCCGCCACCTCGCCTCAAAATGGCCATGAGTGGGGTACACACGTCACCCATTTCGCCCGCGTCGCACCCCCCACCGCCCACGTCGCACGCTTCATTCCACCCCTGTTTGCGCTCCTCTCTTCCTCCTCTCGTCCTCTCTCCCCTGTGTCGTCCGCTCTCATTCCCTTCCTCCCCGCTTTCATTCCCTTCCTCCCCGCTCTTATAACCTTCCTCCCTGCTTTCAGTCCCTTCCTCCCCGCTCTCATCCCTTCCGCCCCGCTCTCATCCCTTCCGCCCCGCTCTCATCCCTTCGCCCCGCTCTCATCCCTTCGCCCCGCTCTCATCCCTTCCGCCCCGCCCTCATCCCTTCCGCCCCGCTCTCATCCCTTCCGCCCCGCTCTCATCCCTTCCGCCCCGCTCTCATCCGTTCCTCCCCGCTTTTTTTCCCTTCCTCCCCGCTCCCATCCGTTCTTTTCCTCTCTCATCCCTTCCTTCCCGCTTTTGTTCCCTTCCTCCCCGCTCTCAGCCGTTCTTTTCCACTCTCATCGTTTCCTCCCCGCTCTCAGCCGTTCTTTTCCACTCTCATCGTTTCCTCCCCGCTCTCATCCGTTCTTTTCCACTCTCATCACTTCCTCCCCGCTCTCATCCCTTCCTCCCCGCTCTCATCGTTTGGGTACTTCCTTTGCGAGCTCGAGTCTCAAACAGATGTGTCTCAAACGATTGCGACACCTCAATATTGAGCACGTTGGATGGCCCTTAACGCAGATCGCTTGTATGCAAGGAGCTGGTTTTTGAGAATTCTCAAACGCAGATCGCTTGTATGCAATTGGAATTTTTCAGTGACTGGGTTGGGTAGCGTGGATCAACAAAGATGATAACCTCACTGTTTCTGCTCGTTCCCACCTGCAACCCCACCCAGATGCATGTTGTCATTCTCCCAATAAGATGAAATACTTGAGATGACGCCACTATAACCACATTAGCGGACGAGTCCTGCATATCAGCCTTTATTTCTCGCTAAGTTAGTCCATGCATTTAGCACACACATTGCCTACACCAATGCAGAGCTGAAAAAATCAGCTTCAGCTTTCATATGCTTGAATGCATTCACCAGGTGCCAACAGGATCCAGCAGAGCTTTTTGAAACGCTTGTTGGCAGCAGTCCTAGCAGCTCAAAAAAATCCAGAGCCAGGCTGCAGCGCGACCAGTATCTCACCGGACATGCTCCACCATTCGCATTAACGCCCCCTGTGCTGCTGGGGTCGCATCGCATCGACGTTTGAATGTCTTAAAAGTCCACTCGCACCAACGCCCCCTGTGCCGCTTGGGTTGCAGCGACCCCCCCTCCCACCCTCACTCCAACCACACATGCACTCCTCGCCCCTGCAGGTAGTGCTGGCAGCGCTGCCACCGCCTTGGCTGCTGGGGAGACCTGCGCCGCCATGGCTGTTCCTCGGCAGACCCACACCGAGGGGAGTGGGGCGACCCATGTGCAGGCGAGGGAGAGAGGGGAGGTGGAGGAGGAGGTGGAGGAGGTTGAGGAGGAGGTGGAGGGAGAGGCGGAGGAGGGGGGTGAGAGGGAGACCTTGACCAACCGGAGGGGTTGAGTGGGGTTGAGTACGATGATGAGGTAGTTGATCTTGGCGAGAGCATTGCTGCGAAGAAGGGGACAGGGGGGGGAGGAGTACAGATAGGTCAAGAGGGGTGGACGATCAACGCAGTGGTAAGGGTAGTGTTGCAAAGCCAGGAAGAGGCAGGTAAGAATTAAGAAGATCTTGAACTTGGTAGCTAGCAAGAGAGGACCGAGAGGATTTGTGGGGTGTTGCTGCCACCCATCGGGGGAGATGATGCGAGATAATGGAGGGGCTCATATGAGGGGTTGGCGATGCTGTAGTTGGTGAGTGTGTCGCTTCCAGGGGAATTGGACAGAGACACAGCGACGTGCTAGAGTGGCACAATAGTGCTGGTGCTGTTCACGTGAAGGACACGGGCATGGTGATAACACACTCTCATGTGTACGTAGATGACTCACGCACTCACGTGGAGGAGACAGAGACAGTGGCGCCTCCCTTGGCTGCTCCGCCCAGCTGGGCGGCCGCAGTGGGGTAGAGCACCGGCGTGAGCGCCGAGGGGACTGGCGGGGTGCACGGGAGGTCAAAGAGAAGGCGGTTCTGAGGGTCCTCACAAGTGGACACCACCAGTGTGCCTCTTGGCGGGGTGAGGGGTGGCGTGCTGAGGGGTGTCGGGTTAGTGAGCGAGGGGAGAGGGAAAGGCAGGAGGATGGGGAAATGAGAACTTCAACGAGCTCAGCTCAAGCTTCTTCACAGATGCTGCCACGGTTGGGCGGAGCAAGGGAGGACTGCAACGATTGAATCGAGGTATGCAGGAGTGTTGAGGGGTGCAGAGAGTTGTAGTAGGGTGCAGGACGAAGTGCGGCATGGAAAGACATGATATTCCTTTAGTGCATTGGTTGATTTTCCATCCTTACTTCCCTCCCTACTCGAACCCTCCACACCCTACCTCACACACTCCCTCCACCTCGCCACCGTTTATCACCACTCTCCACCCCTCACCCCACCCCACCCCCACTGTGCTCACCAGCGTAGAACGCCTTGGCTTGAGATAACGCGCCCATGCTGCTGCTCCCAGCGCCCACCACCGCAGCAGAGAAACCAATGCCACTGGTACCGCTCACAGTGATGCCACTTGCAGTGTCTCTACCCGCGGCGTTACCACCAGGAGTGTTACCACCGGCAGTGCTACCATCGGCAGCGCCAGCAGAAGCAGCAGCAAGGAGGGCGGCAAGGGGAGCAGCAGGGAGGGGAGGCGAGGCAGGTGCGCCAGAGCAGTGCCACACGGAAGGCGCGGGCTGTGCGCAGGCGAGGAGGTGAAGGGGGATCGTGATGACGGGCTGCTGCTGTTGCCTCTGATATAAGGCGATTCGTTTGGGTGCGGTGGCTGGCCCGGTAAACACGAGAGTGTAGCGAAGGTTGTATTTTGTAGCACTGGAAAGGGGCGGGAGGGACTGGTGAGGTATCAGAAGAGAGTTTCAAGAAAGCAACTATATTCCAACAAAACTCCTACTGCAGACAGAGTCAAGACAGGTAGTTGACTGCAGAAGATATGACTGGGAGCAAACGAGCTATTGGAGAGAAGCGTTGCAGAATTGCTGCTTACTTTCTTTGAACGAGCAGGCTGAGAGTGCCGGCCGCCGCTTTGTCTGAAAATCTCGTCACGAGGCTAACTGCCAAGAGGGGCGGTAATGTTTGAAACCAATGAGCGGCTGAGGATGGGGTGACACACGCGACGGGATGGTGAGGCACATGATGACATGCACGGGCGGGGTATCACGTTCTTGGAAATTTAGACAATAAAAGGGAAGACGAGAGAAATGAGGGAACATTGGGAGATGGAGAGAAAAGGATAAGGAAACGGGTGATGGTTGTTTTTCTCTGTGCAATAAGCTCCCATTTTAGTGTTTTATTTGTAAGGTTCAAACTTATGTGCTCCCAACGAGTCCTGTGCTCATTCAGAAGTACTACTAGCCATTCGTTTCATCTTCCTCTCGTCATTTCGTTGTCTCCTTCTCTCTTCATTTCGCCCTCTCATCCTTTCTTCTGTCGTCCTCTCTACCTTTTGAGCGGAGTGGCTCTGTCGCATTGAGTCTTCTCACCTTGCTGAGTCTGGGCGTGAGCGTCGGTCGAGAAACCCGCCAGCGTCGCGAAACCTGGTAATTCGAAATGGAGAGTAACACATGTTACAAGTGAGATTGAAATTATCAAATATATGTAGGGGCAGACGATGGCTCTACGCGGCAGATATTATTCCAAATTTATAGAAACAATACGTGCACTTTCTATTTGGTGCACAGACAAACGTGCAGCTCTCAAAACGTTGTGATAGTCTCCCCCGTCCCCACACAGTATACGCACAGAAGAGAGTGGTAAACGATGGGCAGAATGAGTTCTGAAATCGTCGTCTTGCTTTGATCAGCAGCTCCGTTTGCGCCCCCATCATACTAATAACTACACGGTGATATTCCGCGCGCAAAAGATGGCGACGGAACGCAGCCGCGAGAACCAGATATCGAAATGGCCTCGCGCATCAACCGAGGTTATTATCTTCTTTTTGAACAGGTCACTACCATTGTTGAAAGCGCGAAATAGTACTGTCAGTTGATAGGAGCGACTATCCGCTGTTCGGCTCGAGGCTAAGCAAAAAGAACTCGACACGTCTGCAGTTTCTGTTGGAATTCTTTTGAAATAGGCGCTGATAGATATTGCAAAGAGCAGCTGCAGAATTCAGCGTAAATTAGGTTGTCAACAGAGGGGAGAGAGCATGTTGTGCTTCAGCGCATCTTGCGTTGTGATTCAGGCTGGGAAGACGTCGCCCGAATCCCTCCGAGAAAACCCGTTCGCCCCTGCGGGTTTTCCTCGGAGGGATTTTCGTTTCCCCGCTGTCGCGTGGCGGGCCACGCGAGGGGCGGGAGCCACCCCCCCAACCCGCCCGAAAACCGGCACCCCCAGCTGGCGCCAGCTGCCGATGACGCCAGCAGCCCGCGCCCTCGAGCTGGCAGCGGTCACCCTCCCAAACCGAGCCCAACCCCCCAACCGAGCCCAACCCCTCGCTCAGTTCGTCGACGGGTTCCGTCAGGTAACCCACCCGTCCCTCGCCGAGCGACGCCTCGCCGACGGAACCAGTCCGCGAAGTTTCGCCGGCCAGACGAAAGCGACGCCCATCTGCGCCGCGCTCCACCGCTCTCGCCCTAGACGGGCCCGTTTCGTTCAAGCCGCTCGATCTTGGCGACGTGTCGAAGGCCCCCTCCCGAACCCTGGAAGGGGCCTTTCAGCTGCATGCAAGGCTGCCCACCCCAACGACCAGGTTTCACGTCGAGGCCAATGGGGCCCCGCCGGCCTCCCTCCTCCTCCCACGTCTCGGAACGCGCCCTACCTCCTCGCCCTTGAACCCCCCTGGTCCGTCGCGGTGGGAGGGATGGCAAACAGCTAATACCCTGCGTCCGCTCTCATTTTGTTGCTGTTTCCGATTTTTGCTTCCCTACTTCCTAGTCCCTGCTAGTTCCCAACTCCCCTGCGCGTCCGCCCTCTCCACTGCTAGAACAGACATGGCTACGGGCTCCGCCTCCGTACCCGTCATGAACGAGGCCACGGTTCGACGCGGCCTCATCCTTAGTGCAGGCGGGGTCGAGGTGGAGGTGTTCGAGGACCAGCTGAATGCGATTAGAGAGGCGCCGAAAGGGGAGCTCGAGGAGAGCATGATGGTCGCGGGCGTCGTGTACGTGTCCTGTCGAACACTATCGGTTTGCCATGTTTCGGTTTACCTATCGCTGACGTTGACTTAGCTTTCCGTGCAGCCTGTTCTGTCATGAGCTGCTCTCCGTCGAGCAGCTCCCCAAGGTGTCGATCGTGACTCCGGCGCGTGCGCGTGAAGAGATGGCCCGTCCCACCCCGGTCGCTTTTGCGAACAACCACCTCGACGGCCTCCTCGGCAAGCAAGTGGTTTTGGTTCTGCTGCGGACACCGTGAGTTCGACACTCTCCCGTCGCCTTGCGTGCTCCGTCTTTAGCCCTGAACCCGTTCTCACGTGCATTGGCTGTGCATGCAGACTGAGTGTGCCTCCGTTCTCCCACTCGAGCCTGTTCGTGGTATCGTGGTATCACGGTTCGACGCGGCCTAAATGGTGCTGATCTTCTTGGGGTCGATTTTAACGCCTTCGACGGAGATGATGTGGCCGAGGAATTCCAGTTCTGGTTTTAAGAACTCGCACTTAGATCCCTTGGTGATGAGGCGATTCTGGTGCAGTAGTGTGAAGACTTGATCGAGGTCCTTTAAGTGCTGCTCCCGGGTGGTTGAATAGACGAGGATATCGTCTAAGTACACTATGACGCACTTGTCCAACAGCGGCCGAAAAATCTCGTTCATGGTCAGCTGGAAGGTCGAGGGCGCGTTTGTCAGACCGAAGGGCATGACTGTGTACTCGTAACTCCCGTACCGGGTACGAAACGCGGTCTTGTAGCAATCTGCTTCGTCGACGCGAATCTGGTGGTAACCCCCTCGCAAGTCGATTTTCGAGAAGAATTTTGCTCCACGAAGCTGGTCGATGAGTTCGTCGGCGCGTGGTATCGGGTATCGGGATTTAATTGTAACCCGATTCAGCGCCCTGTAGTTGATGCACATGCGAAGACCCCCGTCCTTCTTCGGCGTGAACAGGATCGGAGCGGCGAACGGAGACGTGCTGGGCCGGACGAAGCCTTTCTCCAACAGGTAGTCAACTTGTCGCCGTAGTTCCTCCAGCTCAGGTTGCGTCAGCCGCCACTGTGTCCGCACGGTTGGCTGCGCGCCGAGTTCGAGTTGGATCTTGTGGTCGTGTGGGCGTTTAGGTGGCAGGCCGGCGGGCAGGTCATCTGGAAAAATTGTAGGGAATTTCCGAATGAGTTTCGCCAAGTCGTTGGGTACACCAGCGCACAACTTTTTGATGTCGGGGGTATCGTCGACGGCCGTTGATGCGATCCATCGGACGGCGTAGAGTTGTGCGCCCCGAACCATGGCGCGCTTGATCGTCACGGCGCTGACCGTTGATGTAGTCGCTTCAGGTCCACTCCACCGGGGTAGTCGTCGCCACTCGCCTCCCCACTTGATGCGACAATCGCCCGTACGCCAGTCAATGCTCGGGTTGTACTCTCGCAGCCAATCGCGCCCCAGCAGCATGTCGCAGCCATCCAGAGTCGTCGCCAGCATCTTCGTTGTGAAGCTAAAACGCTCGCCGCATGTGACTCGAACGTGTGGCACCCGTTCTCGAATCGCCAGTGGTGTACCGTCGACCAATCGCGCGTCGATCTCCGGCATGCACCGCTCCAACTGTAATCGCAGCTTCTTCGCTTTTGTCACATCCATCAAACTGTGGCTCGCTCCACCGTCAACAAATATTTTTATTTTGTTATCCCCAACTCTCCCTTCTACCGGCACAGGGTGATCAACAGGTTCACCCCCCTTATTTAGCCAGGAGTGGTCGACTGCATAAATCGGCACTACTACTTGGTGGGGGTGGTGGTGTTTGGGCGACGCAGTCAAGTCAGCAGGTGGCCCATCAGCTACTGACTTTTTCCATTTCCCGACTGCTTCCCGTCGTTAGCTAAGTCCTTCTTAAGCGCCGGGCAGTCCCGCACCATGTGGCCCGGCTGGTTGCAGTTGAAACAACGACCGGTAAACACCCGGGCTGCCATCGCGTCCACGCCGTTGATGGAAGGGTGTTGGTGCTGGCCTCGAAAACGATTTCCCTCCCGGAAACTCGTCCTCGCGAATGCCCGCCGCGCGTCCAGCGCATCTGCCAACTCGACGAGCTCCGAAAATTTCGCTGGGCGTCGCACTTCAACTTCCAGCTGTATTTCCGGCTTCAATCCCGCCACGTAGCGATCCATCTTCTCGTCTTCGCTCATGCCGTTGATCTGGTCGCAGAGCGCTAGGAACGACGCGGTGTATTCTTGAACAGCTCCCAACTGACGCCATTCCCGAAGCCTCGCACGAGCGTGTTTGCGCGTGGATATGTGCTCAAAACGCTTTTTCAAGGCTTCGCCCCACGCTCGCCACGTGAGGTTCATGGCCGATTCGAAGATTGGGA